GTGAGGTGTTCCCTCGGATGTGTGTACTCAGAGCAAGGAGCAGCTTCTTACCTTTTAATGGCTTCTATAGTGCCAGCTAATGCTACTGTACAACAACCTGTACCGGTGGGGGGAGGAGTACTTAGGAATTACATAGCAGCCACATTGGCTTAGTAGAAAGACCACTGTGTGACCTTAGGCAAATAATTTAATAGTTGTGCCTCAGTTTCCCTGAGAATGATATTTAATCTTTTTTTAAACAGAAAAACACTTGGAGAGCGAAAGATGAAAAGTGCTATAGATGTGCTAACTACGTAGTGGTAGGAGGAGACTCAAACATAAAAGAATACTTCATATCTGTCTTGTCTCCCGATTTAGATTTCAATGGCAGCGGTTGAAAATATAAGAACTGTGGCTTCATTAACTAGTGAAGATGCATTCTATGAGAGATATAATGCAAGTTTGAATGGTCCATACAGGTAGGATTTGCTCTCAAACAATTCTGTTTTTTAAAAGCAATGAATACATATTTTCTTAATTTAAAACTACTCAAGATTTATTCATATTACATTCATTTGCAGACTGAAAATATTAAACACATCAATAATTTGAAAAGATTTTGGCAGGGTAAAATGTTTTTACTCAGTTTCTTTAAAATGCGTTCTTAGATGCTATTGTGTGCGATGTAATTTTGTGTGTGAGAGAGAGAATGTAATGACCTGGTATAAAGTTTTTATTAACATGAATATGGGATGTTTACTTGCTTCACAAATACTGCAGCAGAATGAGTTTCATAGGTCAAGTGGCAAAGACTTTATACTACATAACATCACCATGTATTATGACTTGTAATACAAGAAAGGACTTGCCGGTCTTGAAATAAGGTGCATTTCTTTTTCCCCTTTGGCCTTTTCAGTCACACTCCACAAGCTAATCACTCCAGGGGCTAATTTCTAATATCCAAATATGTCAGACATTTTCCTAGTCTCCATTTTATTTAAATGAAATGATCTACCATCCATTTTGTTTCTTTCCCCTTAAATATGTTTTAAGTAAAAGCAGGGATTGAAAACGATAGTCCTCTAGAAATGACAGTTTAATGATTCAATATTCTATAAACTGTCATCGGTATGAGAAAAAAAATCTATATTTCATTGGAGAAATGGGATTCTCAGCTTTAGCACTTGTCTCTAGTCCTCTCAGATCATTGTATCACAATATTATGATTTATAGAGAAACTATTTTGGGAAACATTTAAAACATATATGAGCACTAGAGATAAGTGAAAATCTGAATTTCCATCCTGTGGGAAATTCTAATATTTCAGTCTCTCTTTTGCTCTGAAGTGGGACAAAATGTGAAAATATATCAATTTTTTTCACTGAAAGAAAAGGGTTTTTTTTAGAAAAAATT